CAACCAAGAAATCATTTTACAATAACAGATTAGGAGTGACAGCTGTGTCTAAAGCTGCCGCCTGTATCAAAAATATTTAGAATAAAATTAGTTCATTCGTATTTTATTTTTTCATAAAAGGTAAAAAAAAATTAAATTAATAAATATGTGTACATGTAGCATAGAGGAAAAAAGACTTTTTACCTCTATGCATGTGGTATATGATACTTTTTACAAGAACTATTACATTTTTTTTATAATATTTTATATTATACCCAGCATTGACATCTTGCTTTAGAAATTTAAACAACCTATCACATACAACCTGATTACGGTACGCTCAGAAGTTCTGAGTCGTGACAATTTTGCTTTGAGTGTGTTTACTTTACATATTAGTTCTTCTCTACCTATTTCGTAACATAAATCATAAATAATGACAGTAGGCCTATGGCAATGAAAGTTTTTTTGACAGACTGTTTTAAAATTCTTTCCGGGGATTCATTCATCCATTATTGCTTCTTACTGTCAAAATATTTTTTCTATTTTTTCATCCTCTACTCAAATGCCTGGGGTTGTAATTATTGTCTCTATCACGCAAAATAAAAAAAAAAACATTCCTCCCAATAATTTTTTTCCACTAGAAATCTGTTCGAACAGGGAAAAATTAGGTGTATGACATGAGAAAAACTGAAATACACTTGAGTATATTCTTGCTTGCAATAAAGCTTGCCAGATTAATTCAACCCCGGAGATAGTGTCATCCATGAGTAACACAGATATCACACCAGAATGCAAATCTAGTCGAAATGTTGGAAAAAAATCATTCAAGTCTGACTAAGTGGTTTCACATACCAGATAAGACTAGCACAGAACTATTTGGTAGATACAAGCAAAAATTATTCAAATAATATTATTTTTTTAATCCTGAATCCTCCTTTAAAAACTACTTGATTTTTTTCATTATACCAAAATATACAAAACAAACCCAAATTTATTAATGCATGAAATGAAGGTTTAAACAAATGGTTGGCTACGTGGTTATCATCAAAATGAATCATGTGGCTTACTCAATGTGGGCTGACAGATTCTGATACAATTATAATGGTCGTCACGGAAACCATACCAAAAGTCATCAAAGAGGAATAGCAATTCTTGTGTAATAGCCTGTATTTAGTTATCTTTCTCAACCAATAAAAAAAATTTTTATGCACAAGCAGCTTAAAGAACCGATGACTACAATACAAGTAATTTATTTATATTAGAAGGCAACAAAATAAAACACTTTAAAATCCAATATAGTTTTTTCTTTAGAAATAATTACATGCACATGTATATTTATATCTAGAACAAAACATTTCAAATATTTATGCAATATTCTTTCTAGCAGAGAAAATTTCAATGGCCATTTCCGTA